AATGTCCCAAGACTACTCCTACGTTGGATTTGTCAAAGCTCCAACGACTAGACTGTACTTGGACGTCAGCTACCTTGCAGTATCTGTGCCCTGCAATCAAAACTGACGACCACAAAAATCCGTGCATGCTGCAGCTGTGTGTCGATGCAGTGCATTCGGGATTCACTGAAAATAATCTTGATGAGGGTACCAGGCATTTACTGGCACCCGGCGCATAAAAATGAACGGGAGTCGCGAGGTTTGAGATCTCGTGGCAAGGAGTTGAACTCACCAAGGTCCGAAGCGTTGCTGCCTGGGGCGGGCTGCCTTCGTGGAGGCCTGGAGAGCCTCAGGGCTGTCTTGCTGAGGCAGGGGGGAAAGCCTGCAATGGATATGTGATATAGGGTTACCTCCCTGATCCCTAATTACACCCTGAATGCCCTGAACGTCTGAAGCAGGGGAAAAGCCTGCCACTATCACGAACATCAACAGCAGGAGCACCTTAGATTAAAGGTGGGGTACCCCACCCAAACCCAAACCCTCACTTTCCCCACCCTGGGAGCCTTCTCGCCCTGGGATTTCAATGCTGCTTGGGCTGCAGCCAGGCGGGCAATGGGCACGCGGAAGGGCGAGCAAGAGACGTAGTCCAACCCTGTCTTCTCGCAGAACTCGATCGAAGCCGGATCGCCTTTTTTTTGAAAATTGAAAACCTATAAACCTTAGACTCTAAATGTGTTTTCTCTCTACTGTTGCTTTTAAAAAAACTTGCTTTACGGATGAATGCCTGGGTTGCTGTTGAGGAACATAATGCTACCGTGATATGTATATACAATACATGATATGATTTCCCATAGATTCTGGTAATTTGATGTATCACCCCCTTGAGGAGTTTAGACTATCGCTCATTTGCTTTCATCAGCAACAGCACAGATATACAAAAGGAAAGACAGCTCGCTTGCAAGACTAGAGGTACTGACTTCGGCATGAAGTTCCCCTAAAGGCACCTTCAACATCAAATTAGCCTAGTCTGGGGAACACTACGAATCACATAGAGTGGGTGTCTTTTGACATGGTGGGTTTATGGGTTTAGGGGTTTAGGGGTTTAGGGTTTCGGGACTCTTTGATCCATCAACAACGAAACCCCGAACCGCAAGCCGGTGCACCTCCGTGCTCTCCGCAGATGCCCATCTTCATGCCCGAACGGCTGCGGCGACCACGCTCCACTGCGATCTGGATCAGCTCGCCAACACCCTCCTGGTTGAGGGGTTTAGGGTTTGGGTGCTTAGCAGTCAAGGGACTTGAGGGCATCCAGATTTTTCGCAAAGTTGAAGGAGATGTTGAAAATAGGTAAACCTTCCCTCTAATACATGATGTGGGAATGCTTGTGAGCCTGAAACCCTCAACCCTCAGACATCCTCTCCTGATCCAGGCTCACAAAGGGATCCTGCTCGACGATACCCTTTGCCTTGTACTCAGGCAGGAAGGCTCCTGCGTTGTTGGGCAGAGGCCACATGTTCGATTTTTCTCTAAACCGTGCAACCCATTATTAACAAATTTGCTTCTGCGAAGTCGGGGAAATCCGCACATGCTGAACCATAAGCTCGAAATCCAAAAGCTTGCTTCCCTGCCCTCCCTTTCTCGTTGCCTCCCCCCGGCCTGCATCATCCCGGCTTAGGCCATACGTAGTCTGGGTCAGATCATTGGTGCCAAAGCTGAAGAACTCCGCTTGCTCTGCGAGGCGGCCTGCTTGCAGTGCAGCTCGGGGCAGCTCCACCTCACAGCGTTCCGCAAAGGACGGGGTTTCGAGTTTGCACTTTAGGAAGTTGGGGGGTTAGGGCTTAGGGTTAAACTGAAGCCTGACGGGTTCAGAGGTCTTAGGGTTCAGGGTTCAGAGTTTCGTGTTTTGGGGTAATGGAGTTTGGGGTTCAGGAGCTTTGGAGTTAGGGCTAAGGGGTAGGTAAACTAACTCAATTCTAGAAGAGTAAGTGTAAGCACCCTAAGAAACGGGGAGCTTTTGCTTTGGAAGCTCCCACCATAGTGCCCACGCGATATGTGAAATTCACGCCCTGCTCCTTCTGAACCTGCTGGGCCGTTGCTTCGATCACCTTCTTCAGCTGAACCAGCTCCTCACTTGAAAGCTTCAACACACCTTTAGGGTTTAGGAATCTGCTAGGTATCGTGTCAGCGTTTTGGGGGCTTCCGCAGCCATATCCCTTACCTTCAATCAAACTCTACAGAGTACTCGGGAACAAAAACGTAGCCGAACAAACGGCGTGAAGGCAAAGATGTGGAAAAACAGGCACCTTGAAACAGTGCTATCGAAAAGGGCGCATGAACAGTGAACAAGACGCCTCCAGGGTCGACACCAAAGGTACCATGACCTGAGATGTTCTCAAAAGCCGGGGTGCCGATTGAGATGGTGGATGGGGATGGATGGGGATTATGTTGAGAGCACCCGCAAACCCTGAACCCGAAACCCTGAACCCTATGGGTCCCCGTTTCATAGGTTCCCTACTACCCCCTCCCCGACTAGACCATTGGCTAGCCTTGATTAAGCCTCACGAGCGGTAGTTAAGCTTCATTCAGGGGGAACCCCAGGGGGGTAGTATAGCTGGGGAATTAGGGGAACCCATGATCCTTGCTGGTGAGGATTTTTTAGGGCCCTAATGGGCTAGCAAGCAACCTCGGCCACCGGTGTCTTCTTGGCGCTGCGGCCGACCTCTGCTGCTGCTTCGAAGATGGCGCGAGCCTGCTACGGCAGAAGCAGGCTTAGGTGAAGTTTCTGGGCCTGCAGAAGCCTAAAAAAGCTTTTTGGTGCGCGTTCATGGGAATTTGGGTTTGATGGGGTCTTGTAAAAGGAATTCTGGCAGGGGTTCCTCACATTGGCATGAGGATTTTGAATGCCATTTCCCCGCTCAGATTTCCTCGCCTGCATCTCGCAGATCTCTGGATATGTAATGGCCAGGCGACAACCTCAGGTGGTCAAGAGTGATTAGAGGAAGAGGCTTGCAAAAATGATCCTTTCCCAACATGGGGCCCTGCCTTGTACAGGACTAAACACAGGACCCCTCTCACGTAGTTTGCATCACATTAACGCTCTCCGATCTGGGTCCTGAGTGGATACTGACGACCCAAAACCAAGACCGCCCTAAATGTCCATAGCCAAGACAAACGCCCCGATTCGTGCTTAAGGATATGCAGCAAAAACATTAGCACGGCCACGCTCTTAGAGGTACTGGAGTAAGGAACCTAAAGAAGGAGACCCCCGGAGGGTTTGGGGAAGTTTGGTGTCCAAGCTTCAGCCTCTATAACCCCAATATAACCCCTATATAACCCCTATAATCCCTGTAGGTTCCATTTTCTTTACCATTATCCCTATGTAAAAGTCAAGGCCATTTTTGGTGGTTTTTGGGACACTCGCACCTCGGTGGCCAAGCATGGGATTGGCCTCTTGGAGTTCGCTGGCTCGGCGACGTACGCGATCCAAAGGCACCTGAGTTATAGCTTGGGTACTCTTGGAAATATTCGGAACAGGGGGGGAGGGCGACTCAAGGAAGATAAAGGCATTTAGGTGGTTGGGGAATTAGAGTCCTCAATAAAGCCAACAATTCAGTTGCCTTCTCAAACCCTTCACCCTGAACAATGATCCAAGGGCACTCCGGCTGCCTTTGCCACCAGGCCCATCTCGGCCTCCGTGTGCGGGATGAACCTAAGCCCACACAGCTTCCTCCCGGGTGCTTAGCAGGGCATGAGGGAACGGATTCTAGGGGATCTTGTTGCTAAAGGACACACTCCCAGCTCTCTTCTGGGGGTATGCAGCCACATCCGGCAACAAAACCTTGAAGGACGGGCTTCAAGATCATTGTTATCTTCCATTTTTTGAGTGTACGTTTCATGATACATTTCATCGTACCTGTAAATATGTGAACAGATACCTATGTTGTGTTTGTCCTTTTTCCTACTAGCTCCTGCTACCGATGGATGGCGAAGACATGGCTGAAGACCGAGGGCTGCGCTCATGCAAGGGAGGGTCCAGCAG